CCAGAAACAACAATCAGTTGAAGGATTAGATGGGTTTCGATACTATACGATTAATCGATAACCTTTTATTGAAATATTATGTGATGTTCTTTATTTATTGTAAGTGCTCCCGTAACTATATTAATGGTTTATTAACAAATTGCTTTTTATTAGGTGATCATCGAAAGCTAGGTAGGATGATCGGATCCTATAGCCTTATGTTGGTTAAAGAAAGTTATTAAATGTTCGCAACGAAGGAACACATAGTGAAGCCACTACGTTACGAGCCGATGGAAAGACTCGCCCCATTTTGATACAAATAATAATATCAACGCAAATATTGCTAACTCTCAAGCTTAGCTTTCAGTTTATTCTCGGACATATCTTTCGTAACGAATTACAACATCCGTTGTAGAGCTTAATAAGCGAAAGCTTTATTATCGTAACAGAAGTCTTACAGTAAAACCAGCTTCCATATCGCTACGTTTGTTTATATTAAGTTTTCAACATTGAATCGCTTGCAATAAGCTAACCAAGTTTTAAGACGAAGTCTAACGAGCTTCCGTTATGCATTAAATCTAATATTAAGGTTTCAGGGACAGTATGCAGGCCCGATTAACATTTGTCGAGTACACAGTCAGTCTCGATAAGTCGGCCAACCTATGTAATTCTCGATAAGTCGCTAAGTCGGCCAACTGCTCCAGCTATCTTAGTTAGATGTGTCTCGATAAGTCGGTTTCACATGACGAAGTCCCATTGCTTTGCAGTCCCGAAGGGACAACCCTAAAGGATTATGTCTGATCAAATTTCTCAAGAGGCGGATAGTGATAAGGATGGCACTTTAACGCTTGTGTTAAAGGCTGAAATTTGCCCAAAGATTACATCGACTAGTTATATCCTATTTTACTTTTCTTCTTGCGATTTTATTTCCCTTTTTGCTGGTAGTAGTTGTTGTCGGCGAGGCACAGTCAGAAAATTGTCTTCATTCAGGTCCTGGCCATGAGTGATATGAATCGATACCCTGTGCTGTAGCTCCGCACGACCATATGGATTAGTGAGTGCATCTTCTCCGTAACGGGTGGCTTGAAGCGATTTTGAAAAAACCACTGCGGGACAAGGACACGGTTCGCGTTTTTACCAAACAACTGTGAGTACCAACACATGCGTTCTGCCCGATTTCGTGTCTCTCTTTTTGACCTTGACAACCTTAACATGAATTGATTGTTCAATTGATATTCAGGAACGACTACTCGGCTTCACCCACAACGCGTTTCTCTCCTGTCGTGAGTACCAAAAACTGCGCCGCTTTTTTGCTTTTAGAATTAAAAAAAAGTCGGAACAAAGCTTGAATGAGAAAACCGCCGCATAGCGAATTGCACATATTTTCCTCAGTGAAATGGAGTAGTTGCACAGATTGAACACCGCCACTTTTTCGTTGTAAAGAAAGACGAGAACTTTCTTATCTGAACCTGATCAAGACGCGAATGAGCTGGCGTTTCAAGGGTGCATTAATGCCAATATGGAAGAAGTCATTGCTAACAAAGCCGATGAATTTATTAAAACCATTCAAAAACGAAGAAACAAAAAGGAAACAAGAAGACGAAGCATCTTGATTGTTTGCTTACGCTTCCGAATTCTTTTCAAAATCCACCAAAATACTCGGCACGCCAGGATCGATGCAAGCATATCAGACATTTGTCATAAGAACTTTGATATGATTGGCTGATCAAAATATATTTACCGTATACTACCGTGAATAAGCACCCCCATAAGTAAAATTTTCGATCGTGAATAAGCACCCCAAGATTACCTGGATTAACTGCATGATGTGCCCCCCCCCTCCCACAGTTCATTACGTAAGTATGCAAATCAAAATTTTTTATTTCACAATAATAGTATGCTTCTGGTTACTGTAATTACTGTTGTAAGCTACCCCTTAACGTTGTTGTGGATTATACTTTACGTAATGATTTGCCGATCATTTTAATAATGCCGATAAGAGTTGACGATCCTTCAACCTCTTCATCCTCATTATTATCTACAATGACTTCATATACATTTCCATCTTCTCCTAGCATTAGTTCTGAATGTGCTGAGAGTGTGGTTGGAGTTCTGGCATACTATGATAAATATATGATGAGAAACTAGAAAGTATCACCTCAACAGCCAAGTGGCTAATAATGAAACTCATAGCTACCTTTTTATAAACACGCCTATGCTCTTCATCATCACTATCACTGTACATCTGTTGGTTGGGCATTCCAATTTGATTCCGAGGTCTTTTTGTCTTTACTCTGCATTCAGTTTCTAGTGTCTTGAAATAATGCCAGTATGATAGTTCTTACACATTATGCTTGGAATAATACAAACAAAGAGTACTCACATCCATCAGATTTGTAGTTGCCGTCTTCGAAATCGCAACCTTTGCCATATCAACATTTCTAGTGATTTCCCGACTATTGTGTCTCTAAAACAAAGTATTGGTAATTGCAAAACAAAATAAATAACAGCTGTAATCATGCACATACAATTTCCCACTTTCGGTCAATTTCACCAAAGAAGTCAAGAACTTCTTTTCTTTGAAAGATTTCTTCGGCGTTCTTGGATAGTTTGATGGCTTTTGCCTTCGCGTTTGCATAAATTACGGAGGACTTGCTACTCTTCTCAAGCGTTCGTTTGAATGCATCAATGATATCATTTTTGCTATCGGACGAGAATAGTACACGACGTTCCAGATAGCGAAGACAGTTCATAGGGGACCAGTCGTGAAGAGCCGTGTCATTGAGAAAGTCAGAAATATATTTTTCAAAATCCATATCTATTGCCGTTTAAAAGAAGGCGAATAAGTGGTTGCTCTCGTACGCAATGAAGATACTATATTATAGTAGCGCTCAACAAGCTGTATACTGGAAGAGGGACCCAGGCGTAGGCACTAAAAGCCGCATTAGCGAGTTATAGTGAGTATCCCGCAATCCTCAAATCCAAACATCGAAACGCAGGGCCGACCATACGAGCGTAGGATA